GCCCCCCTCCCATAGTACGAGGGCCCCCAAGGTGCTCCTGCGGGGCGCATTGCTGCGCAGCATGCCACTCTCCCTCTACCCTCCTTTGTACCCTTTTTCTTGTATTGGGGGCCCTCCTCATTTCTTTCCCCACCTACAGGCACATGGGGGCCCCTACGGGGACCTCCTCCTTCCTTCTAGGGCCCCTTCACCCTACACCGTGCCTCGTGGGGGGCCCCCAGGAGCTACCTAGGGGCCCCCTGGGGCCCCCACCCCTAGAACCCTCAGGGGGGCCTTGGATTAGGGTTTGGGCAGTTAGGGGGCCCCAACGGGCCCCCGGCACCCATAGGGTGTATACTATAGGTGTATATATTTTATGTATTTGTATGGATGTGCTTATGAGGGTTTGCCCAATTGATTATATGCATGCATGCGTGCATATGTGCATGCATGCATGCATGTAGATATACATTAATGTAGATATTAAAGAAAAAGGGAAGGGAAGAGAGGATGCATGCGGAGTATGGACGGGCAAGGGTTTAGGGTTTAGGGTTTAGGGTTTGTGACTGGCTGTGTACAGACCTGCGGAGGAGAGAGAAGAAAAGGAGAAGAAATGGAGCAGATATGATAGAGAGGGTATGCAAACTTTAGGGTTTAGGGTTTAGGGTTTAGGGTTGTGTGTAGGGTTTAGGGTTTGGGTGTGTATACTATGCCTCTCCTACCTCGATTTGCTCATGCCTCCTCCTTAGCCTCGATGGAGGTGCTAGGCTGGAGGATTAGGGTTTATTGTTTAGGGTTTAGTGTTTAGGGTTTGGTGTTTAGGGTTTAGGGGTTTTAATGGGACGGAAGTTTCTTCGTGGCGGTGTGTGTAGAGGGTTTAGGGTTTAGGGTTTGTGTGTATACTTCCATGCACTCAATCCTTTTCTCTCTCTCCCTCTCTCTGTCATTTATTAGTGTTTATATTTAATTGTTATATTATTAGGGTTTATGCCTTAAGTGTCTCTTTTTCGAGGGTTTAGGGTTAAATTAGGGTTTAGGGTTTAGGGTTTAGGGTTTAGGGTTTAGGGTTTGTGGTATTCAGGTAATTCTGGTCGTTGGGCGGATAGAGATGCAGATGGAGACAGCGATGGAGACTGGAGAAGAGATCCTCGTCCCCCTAAGGTATATTTATTTATTAATTGTCTCCTTTTTGTCTCCTTTTTGTCTCCTTTTTGTCTCCTTTTTGTCTCCTTTTTTGTACATATATGTGTCTCTTTTTGTTTCTTTCTTTTTTTTCCCTCTTTTGTCCCAATATATAAATTATTATAATTAACAACTTAATTAATTAATTAAATTAATTAATTAATTAAATATATTTATTTATTTATTTATTTATTTATTTATTTATTTATTTATTTGTATACAGAAGGAGGAGGTAGAAGTAAGCTTTAAGGGCGCACGTGGCGCAAAGTTTTGTGCCTCCCCTGCAGAGGAGGAGGTCTCCTTTGCTAGTATACGTAGGGGAGGGGGAGGGGGCCCCGGGGGGGGCCCCCAAGGGGGCCCCCAAGGGGCCCCTCGTAAAGAAGAGGAGGAAGCCGATTTCTCTACTGCACGTAGTGGTATAAAAAGAGCAGCAGCAGCAGCAGCAGCAGCAGCAGGAAGGAGCAGCAAGAGCCCACAGTCAGAGGAAGCAGATTTTTCCTTAGCAAGGAGTGGTCTCCTTAGAGACAGCAGCAGCAGCAGCAGCAGCAGCAGCAGCAGAGGGGCATTAGGGACTGGATCCTTTAGGAGACAGCAGCAGCAAGTTGATGATACAGTAGATTTCTCTGCAGCAAGAAAGGGAGGAATAAAGAGACCTAATGGCAGCAGCAGCAGCAGCAGCAGCAGCAGCAAAGATGCTGCTGATGATGCCTCCTTTAGTGCACTCCGTAGCGGCGGCCTCAAGCAGCGCTCGGAGCAAGGTAAACCCTAAACCCTAAACCCTAAACCCTAAACCCTAGAGAGGAGGAAAAAATATATATTTGTGTGTTTTTTTTTTGTATTTGTTTATATTTACTAACAATAATATTAATTTATATATTTATATATTTTAATCTTATTTTGCTGCTGTTGCTGCTGCTGCTGTTGCTGTTACTGTTGCTGCTGCAGACAGGGAAAGAAGCAGAGGAATGCGCGAAGTATTTGCTGCTGTTATCTCTAATGAGCTGCAGCTGCCTACCCGCAGAGAGCCTGCTGCTGCAGCAGAACCAGCAGCAGCAGGAGCAGCAGCAGCAGAGCCTGCAGCAGCAGCACCAACAGAGCCTGCAACATCAGCAGAGCCTTCACCAGCAGCAGCGCAGGCTGCACCAGCAGCAGCATCAGAGCCTGCAGCAGCAGCATCAGAGCCTGCAGCAGCAGCAGCAGCAGCAGAGCCTGCAACAGAAGCACCAAGCCCAGCGAGTACTGCTGCGGCAGCAGAAGAGGACATTAAGGGGGAGAAGAGCAGCAGCAGCAGCACGAAAGGGGATGCTGCAGCTGCAACATCACCAGCAGCAGCTAGTGAACAGACACAGCAGCAGGAGGAAAAGGAGCAGCAGCAGCAGCAGCAGCAGCAGCGGCTGCAGCCCGCCTCTACAACTCCTAGCAGCGAAGGGTCTTGCGGCGACAGCAGCCGCAATGCTGCGTCAGTAGATGCAGCAGCATCGGATGCTGCAGCAGGAGCAGCAGCAACAGAGTCTCCAGCAGCAGCAGGAGCAGCAGCAGCAGATTCAGAGGGCAGGTTTGTGCCCCGTTGGAAGAGACAAAGTGCAGCAGCAGAAGGGGAGACAGCTGCAGCAGCAGCAGCAGCAGCAAAGCCAAGTGTTATAGAGAAGCCTGTTGTGCTGCAGCCAATTAAGTTGTCTTCCCTAAGAGGGACAGGTGCAGCAGGAGGAGGAGGAGCAGCAGCAGCAACAGGTGCTGCTGCTGCTGGTGGCAGCAGCAGATATGTGCCGCCATGCCGCCGTGGTGATGCAGCAGGCAGCGGGGGAAAGGGACAGCAGCAAGGCAGCAGCAGCAGCAGCACCAGCACAGTAAGCCGTTTATTGAGCTCAGCAGCAGCGCGGGAAGCAGCAGCAGCCGCAGCAGCAGCAGAGAAGAAGCAGCAGGAGCTAGCAGCAGCGCGTCGTCAGCAGCTAGAACAGAAACGTCAGCAGCAGCAGCAGCAGCAGCAGCGCATGCAGCATGCATTCCGCTGCAGCAACCCCGAGGCCTTAGAAAAATGCATGCAGAAGCTAGAGGATCTGCTGCTGCAGCAGCAAAAGGAGACAGGTGTCTCCTCGCAGCTAACCAAGGAGGAGACACTAGATCTACTGTCTCCTTTACCTCAAGAGGACATGGGGTCCTTAGCTGCTCCTCTTTGCTGCGTTGCTCTTGCTGCTAAAGTAGGTCTTACTGCAGCAGCAGCAGCAGAAGCAAGCAGCAGCAGCAGCAGCAGCAGCAGCAGCAGCAGCAGCAGCAGCAGCAGCAGCGAATACCTACGCAATAAATGTAAACCTCTTGTTGGTATAACCAAGCAGCTGCTGCATGCAGCAAGAGAAGAAATAAAAGAAAACCCTTCTGCTGCTATCTTGCTTCTTAGGCAAGCAGCCAAATTTATTAATGGTAAACCCTAAACCCTAAACCCTAAACCCTAGTCTCCGGTAATAATACTTTTCTTGTATAATTATTTGCTTTTATAACTGTCTCCTTTTCATAATTATTTCCTTTTATAGTTGTCTCCTTTTTTTTTATCTCCTTGTGTCTCCTTTTTTCTTACTGTCTCCTTTTTTTTTTTTCTTATGTGTCTCCTTTTGTCTCCTTTAGAGATAGGCTGCCCTCGTCTATCTACAGAGACATCATTAGCAGAGGCCCTCTTTGATTGGTTACTCTTAGAGAATATTATACAACAAAGTGAATTTGTTGAGGTAAGGGTTTAGGGTTTAGGGTTTAGGGTTTAGGGTTTAGGGTTTAGGGTTTGGGAGGTGTTTTAGGGTAGTTAGGGCGTATATTCATTTTTTGCTCTTCTTATATCGCCAATAGGGTATTTATTTACTCTAGGGTTTAGGGTTTAGGGTTTAGGGTTTATCTGCTTGTTGTTGTGCAGTGGCTAGAGGACGTCAATGATGACACCCCTGGGCGTACAGCCACGATGTTCCAGGTACGAAGGGTTTAGGGTTTGGGGTTTAGGGTTTAGGGTTTGTTGAGGAGGGCGGAGCTGCATAAGAAAATCAACACACCTTGTCTTTTAGTGGCTACGGTGTACATACACTCCGCCTATATCGAGGAATCCTCAGCAGCAGCAGCAGCAGCAGCAGCAGCCGCTGCTGTTGTTGCTGCTGCTGCTGCTGCTGATCGCAGGTTTTAGGGCTCTCCTCTGTTTTTGTTGAGAGCTAAAGGGCTGCGATACATTTTATTTATTTATATTTATTTATATTTATATTTATTTATATTTATTTATATTTATTTATATTTATTTATATTTATTTATATTTATTTATTATTTATTATTTATTATGTATTATTTATTTGTGGTGTATGCGCAGCTCTCTTCTTGGGGTTTATGGCTGAGGGGTGAATTAGGCTTAAGAGATGAACCCAGCGAATCAGAGGTCCGTTGCTGCTGCTGCTGCTGCTGCTGCTGCTTGTGCTGCTGCTGCTGTTGTTGTTGTTGTTGCTGTTTCTAAGAATACCTGTATGTAGTGTAGTGTATGTACGAACGACCGACCATACGGCCATACGGTTTAGGGTTTAGGGTTTAGGGTTTAGGGTTTAGGGTTTGTGTGTATATATGCAGCAAGAGGAAGATGATGACATTGAGGCTCTAATACCAAAGCGCAGTGCAGTAAAAGTAGTCAGGAGATTAAAATAAATAAATAAATAAATAAATAAATAAATAAATAAGCATAAATATGCATGCATGCATGCATGCATGCATGCATGCTTGTGCGTGCCTCTGCATGCATGCCGCTGCATGCATGCATGCATGCATAGAGAGACAAAGAAAAACAATAGGCAGCATAAAAGAGAGACAGTTGGTGTCTCCTTAGCGTTCTCCTGCTGTCTCCTCCTCTCCCCAAGTGTCTCCTTTTTAGGCTTGCTGCAGAGAGACAGACAAAGGAGGGCAGCAGCAGCAGCAGCAGCAGCAGCAGCAGCAGCGCTAATTATATAAAGGAGGGGAGATACATATACAAAAGAGGGAGAGAGAGAGAGCTTATAAAGAGACAATATATACATAATATATTATTATTATTTATTATTATTATAATATAAATAAATAAATAGGTAAATTATATTATAATAATAAGAGACAAAGAATAAATAAATAAATAAATAAATAAATAAAAAGAACAAAGATATGCAAAGAAATGTCCCTAAGAGGCCCTTTTATACCCAATACTTTTCCTTGGTTGCCTCTATAGTTGGGCTAGCTAGCCAAGCGGCTAGCTAATCTAGCTAGCTAGCTAGCTAGCTAGCTAGTTGGCTAGCTAGCTGGCTAGCCAGCTACCCAATAAGGGCGGGGAAAGCTACCCATCCAGCTAGCTAGGCAACTAATTTAGAGTTAGCCAGGCGGCTAGACTAGCTAGCTAGCTAGCTAGCCAGCCAGGCAGCTGGGTGTCTAAGCTACCCATCTAGTTAGCTAGCCAGATAATATCCTGGTGGCTAAGCTAGCTAATCATAGCTAGCTAGCTAGCTAGCTAGCTAGCTGGCTAGCTACGCCGTTTAGGCCGTAAGAAGCGGCAGGGCTAAGCACAGCTCGGGATATTGAGTGACTAGATGTCTATAGCTAGTCAGGCTAGCTAGCTAGCTAGCTAGGCTTAGCTAGCTAGCTAGCTAGCTAGGCTTAGCTAGCTAGCTAGCTGGATAGCTATGCTTAGCTAGCCAGCTAGCCAGCTTTTTAGCTGTGCAGCTGCATGTTGGAGGTTTTATCTAACGAAGAGGATGCAAAGGAGCAAAAAGGGGTGGAGACAAAAGGGTTTGGCTAGGGTTTAGGAAGGGGTTTAGTTAGGGTTTAGGAAAGGGTTTAGTTAGGGTTTAGGACAGGGTTTAGTTAGGGTTTAGGATAGGGTTCTGCTAGGGTTTAGTGGAGGCTTTTGCTAGGGTTTAGGAGGGGGTTTATTTAGGGTTTAGGGAAGAATTTTGCTAGGGTTTAGAAAGGGTTTAGTGAGGGTTTAGAGAAGGGTTTAGGGGAGGGTTTATGAATAAGCAAAATGTACTAAAGAAATATAAAAGGGAGGAAGGAGCAGCAAGGAGACACCTAAAAAGAGACACCTAAAAAGGAGACACCTAAAAAGGAGACACATAAAAGGGAGACGCATAGAAAGGAGACACATAAAAAGGAGACAGCTAAAAAGGAGACACCTAAAAGGGAGACACATAAAAAGGAGACAAATAAAAAGGAGACAAATAAAAAGGAGACAAATAAAGAGGAGACACCTAGAGGGAGATTTCTTAACAATTAAATGACAAAAAGAACAATTCATCATTTAAATAACTAAACCCTCCATCAAGGGGCCCTCTATAAGTTGGGGGCCCCCAAAAAAAGGGGGCCCCCCAATGTCTAAGTTGGGGGCCCCACAAGAGGGGCCCCTCTCGGACCTCGGGGGCCCCACATGAGGGGCCCCCCCAAAGGGGAAGCAAAAGGCAGGGGGGAGGGGGCCGCCCATAGGGCCCTCCTCTGCTGCTGCTCCTCCTGCTGCGGTATATATTTGCTGGTAGGAGGCTGTAAACCCTAAACCCTAAACCCTAGGTTCTAGTTGTGGCCGCACAGGCGATGGGTTTATGAGGGGACTGCAGCACTGTCCTAGGGATGTGGTGTTGCTCTTCCTCTGTCTGTTTCTGCTGCTGCTGTTGCTGCTGCTGCTGCTGCTGCTGCTGCTGCTGCTGCTGCAGTGTCTGAGGGGGTTCGTTCTCTGAGTCGGCAAGACTTTGCTTTAAACTCGCAGGACGAGGCAAAGAACATCTGCAGCAACACCAAACCCTAAACCCTAAACCCTAAACCCTAGATTGTTGTCTACTGTTAACCCTAAACCCTAAAGGGAGCCCAGTGTCAGACCCATTAACACCTAAGCTCTAAACCCTAAACCCTAATGGGAGCCCAATACCGCACTCAAGAAGACCCAAACCCTAAACCCTAAACCCTACCTGCAGACTTCTAGCTGTGCGAGGTAGGAGTTAAATAGTTCTTCTACTTGCTGCTGCGCCTGCTGCACTGCCCGCAGCAGCTCTGCATGCATAGCTCGTTTCCGCTGTACAGATACCTGCAGTTGCTGCAGCTGCTGCTGCAGCAACTTAATGTTCTCCTGCGCAACACAAACAGCAGCAGCAAACAAGGCATTAGTCTCTGCAGCAGCACCAACAGCAGCAGCAGCAACAACACATTTGCAGCTACACTATCAGCAACAACAGCAGCAGCAACTGCAGCAGCAGCAGCAGCAGCACCTGCTGTGAAGGTAGCATATTCCAGAAGCTTTCTGCTTCTTTCTTTGCTTGCTGCACCCTATCATTTAATTCTTTTGTTTTATTGCTTAATTGTTCTTCTTCCTGCAGCAGCAGCTGCTGCTGCTGCTGATACTCCTGCTGCAGCTGCTGCAGCAGCTGCTGCAGCTGCTGACGACGCTGCTGCAGCTCCTTCTGCATCTTCTCGCTTGTACGTAAGTCTTGTCTTGCAGCAACATAAGGCTGCACTCATACACCCTAAACCCTAAACCCTAAACCCTAAACCCTAAACCCTGATAGGGGCTTGTATAGTGGCAGTGTGCAACCACAGCACATAACAACATATTCCGTTAGACTATTAGGGTTTAGGGTTTAGGGTTTAGGGTTTATGTACCTCAAGACAATCAGCCTTATGTGTAGTAAGGAAGGACTCAGCCTTTAATGCTTTCTTAAGGGAACGAGCAACTTGCTGCTGCAGCAGCTGCTGCTGCTGCCGCTGTTTACTTATATCAGACAAACGCATGTCTTGTCTCCGCTGCTCTTCTTGTAGCTCTTGTCTCTTCTGCTTCAGCTGAACAGCAGCAGCAACAGCAACAGCAACAGCAGCAGCAGCAAGAACGATATCAGCAGCAGCAATAGTAGTAGTAGCAGCAACAGGAACCACAGCAGCAGCAGCAGCAAAAACAGCAGAAGTAGCGAGTGCAACAGCAACAGCAGCAAGTGTAACAGCAGAAGCAGCAGCAAGTGCAGCAGCAGCAGCAGCAGCAGACCTTATTAGGGCTGTGTACGATTTGATCCATATAATCTTCTTTTTGCTGCTGCAGTCTAGACAATTCTTGTGCTGCTTCTTTTACTTCCTGCTGCAGTCTGTGCTGCTGCTTCTGCTGCAGTCCTCTCTTGTCTTCTGCACTAAGGAGCTCCACCTCAAGGGAAGAAGCAGCTGCAGCAGCAGCAGCAGCAGCAACAGCAGCAGGAGGAGGAGGAGGATGTGCTGTTGTAGTAACAGCAGCAGCGGCAGCAGCAGGCCTTCAACAGGTGAGGCAGCAGCTGCAACACCATCCGCTAGCAGCTGCAGCAACAGCAGCAGCAACAACAGCAACAGTAGCAGCAACACCAGCAGCAGCAGCATCAACAGCAGCAGACATACTTGATTTAAGAGACTGCAGCTCCTTCTGCAGAAGAGCAGCATGTTGCTGCTGTGCAGCACGATTTGCTGTTAATTGCTGCAGTTGCTGCTCCGTTGCCCGCAGCTGCAGCACAGCAGCACAACACATGCACCACAGCAACCACTTGCAGCAGCAGCAGCAGCAGCAGCAAGAACACGAGTAATAACAACTGCAACACGAGCATAAAGAGCAGCAGAAGCAGCAGCCGCAGCAGCAGCAGCAGAATGGCTTCTTGTATCTAACCTCTTCTTCTACTGCAGCAACATTAATCTGCGTTTGCTGCGCTGCAGCAGCAAGAGGGTTTGCATCTGCTGCTATACTGTCTCTTGCTTTTAGGTAGCAGCAAACAGCAGCAGCAAATCTCTGCACCCCTTGGGGGGTTGGCGAAGAAATAAAGGAATGATTAAACTCTGTAAACCCTAATACACCCCTAAAAAAAAAAAACAAAAATAAAACCCTAAACCCTAAACCCAAAAATTCACAAACCCTAAACCCTAACACCAAAAAAAAGTGGAGCAACAAACCCTAAACCCTAAAAACAACCCTAAAGACTAAAACAAACAAACCCTAAAGTGTTTTTCTTTTTCTTTTCTCTTTTTGCTTAATTGAAGCTCAACTTAAGGGTTTAGGGTTTAGGGTTTAGGGTTTAGGGTTTAGAGGTACTTGGCTAATTTTTGGCATTGCCTAAACCACCGTAAATTTCCTATTCCTTTTAGATGTGTTCTTCCTTGCAGAGTTAAGAAGGGCTTCCTGCATAAATAAATAAATAAATAAATAAATAAATAAATAAATAAATAAATAAATAAATAAATATATAAATATATAAATATATAAATAAATAAATAAGTAAATATTTTATTTATTTAGTTACTTTAGCTATTTATTTACGCATTACAAATTAATTAAAAAAAAAAATTAGTGTTTAGGGTTTAGGGTTTAGGGTTTAGGGTTTAGGGTTTAGGGTTTACGTGTGCTGTTGATTAATTCTTATATCCCCAGTGAGTTCCTCATATCTAATTTTATTAATATTTAAATTAAGAATAATATTATTTTTATTTTTTAAAATTAGTGTTTACGGTTTAGGGTTTAGGGTTTAGGGTTTAGGGTTTAGGGTTTACGTGTGCTGTTGATTAATTCTTATATCCCCAGTGAGTTCTTCATATCTAATTTTATTAATATTTAAATTAAGAATAATATTATTTTTTTAAAAAAAAAAATTAGTGTTTAGTGTTTAGGGTTTAGGGTTTAGGGTTTAGGGTTTACGTGTGCTGTTGATTAATACGTATATCTCCAGTGAGTTCCTCATATCTAATTTTATTAATATTTAAATTAAGAATAATATTATTTTTTAAAAAAAAAAAATTAGTGTTTAGGGTTTAGGGTTTAGGGTTTAGGGTTTAGGGTTTAGGGTTTACGTGTGCTGTTGATTAAT